TCCCTAGGCTCAGACTCTTGTATCTTCAGCATGCTCCTGATGGTTCTGAGGCAAATCCTCCATGTAGGTTTTTGTTGTTGTTTTTGAGACAGGGTCTCACTCTGTCATCCAGGCTGGAGTGCAGTGGTGTGATTTCAGCTCACTGCAGCCTCAACCTTCCAGGCTCAAGCAGTTCTCCCACTTCGGCCTCCCAAGTAGCTGGGACTACAGCCACATGCCACTATACCTGGCTAATTTTTTTTTTTTTTTTAACTTTTAATAGAGATGAGGTCTCACTATGTTGCCCAGGCTGGTCTTGAACTCCTGACTCAAGTGATCTACTCATTTCAGCCATTCAAAGTGCTGGGATTACACGTGTGAGCCACCGCGCCTGCCCTCCACATGGGTTCTTAAGGAAAATTACCTGTTTCTGCCTCCTCTTAGAGGCCCGTGACAGGCTCTGGGAAGGATTGCCATGAAGAGACCTGTAAACCCTTTCCGATAAGGATTTCTCAAAGGCATTTTACCATGGGTATTTTCTCCACAAACCTATTAACTTTTCTCCATTTTGAAAGATGGTATCTTCAAGAATGTCTTCAAGTTTGAGCTACTATCACAAGATACTATAGACCAAGTGGCTTATAAGCAACAGAGATTTATTTCTCACAGTTCCGGAGGCTGAGGTCTAAGATCAGGATACTAGCATGGTTGGGTTCTGGTGAGGGTTGCAGATGGCTGATTTCTCAAATTCATTACGTCCTCACATAGACAGGGTGGCTTATAAGCAACAGAGATTTATTTCTCACAGTTCTGGAGGCTGAAGTCCAAGATCAGGGTACTAGCATGGTTGGGTTCTGGTGAGGGTTTCAGATGGCTGATTTCTCATTACATCCTCACATGGCAGAAAGATAATGTGCTAGGTCCTCTGGCCTCTGCCGCTGCTGCTGCTGCCGCCGCCGCTGCCTCTTCTTCTTCTTCTTCTTCTTCTTCTTCTTCTTCTTCTTCTTCTTCTTCTTCTTCTTCTTCTTTACCTTCTCCTTCTCCTTCTCCTTCTCCTTCTCCTTCTCCTTCTCCTTCTCCTTCTCCTTCTCCCTCTCCTTCTCCTTCTCCTTCTCCTTCTCCTTCTCCTTCTCCTTCTCCTTCTCCTTCTCCTTCTCCTTCTCCTTCTCTTCTCCTTCTCCTTCTCCTTCTCCTTCTCCTTCTCCTTCTCCTTCTCCTTCTCCTTCTCCTTCTCCTTCTCCTTCTCCTTCTCCCTTCTCCTTCTCCCTTCTCCTTCTCCTTCTCCCTTCTCCTTCTCCTTCTCCTTCTCCCTTCTCCTTCTCCTTCTCCTTTCTCCTTCTCCTTCTCCTTCTCCTTCTCCTTTCTCCTTCTCCTTCTCCTTCTCCTTCTCCTTCTCCTTCTCCTTCTCCTTCTCCTTCTCCTTCTCCTTCTCCTTCTCCTCCTTCTCCTTCTCCTTCTCCTTCTCCTTCTCCTTCTCCTTCTCCTTCTCCTTCTCCTTCTCCTTCTCCTTCTCCCTCCTCCTCCACTCCTCCTCCCTCCTCTTCTTCTTCTTCTTTTCTTCTTCTTCTTCTTTCTTCTTCTTCTTTCTTCTTCTTCTTCTTTGTCTTTACTTAATCTTCTTCTTCTTCTTCTTCTTCTTCTTCTTCTTCTTCTTCTTCTTCTCCTTCTCCTTCTCCTTCTCCTTCTCCTTCTCCTTCTCCTCCTCCTCCTCCTCCTCTTCTTCTTCTTCTTCTTTTCTTCTTCTTCTTCTTTCTTCTTCTTCTTTCTTCTTCTTCTTCTTTCTTCTTCTTCTTTCTTCTTCTTTCTTTCTCTTCCTCCTTTTCCTCCTCTCCTTCTCCTTCTTCTTCCTTCTTCTTCCTTTTTTTGCCTAGGCTGGAGTACAGTGGCACAATCTTGGCTCACTGCAACCTCTGCCTCCCAGGTCAAAGTGATTCTCCTGCCTCAGCCTCCCGAGTATCTGGGATTACAGGCATGCATCACCATGCTGGGCTAATTTTTGTGCTTTTTAGTAGAGATGGGATTTCACCATGTTGGGCAGGCTGCTCTCGAACTCCTGACCTCAGGTGATCTGCCCGCCTCAGCTTCCCAAATTGCTGGGATTATAGGCGTGAGCCACTGTGCCCAGCCTGCCAGCTTCTTCTTATACAGGTACTAATCCTATCCATGAGGGCTCTACACTCATGACCTCATTACCTTCTAAGGGCCCCGCCTCTAAATATCATCATGTTGGGATTCAGGTTTCAACATAGGAATTTTGTGGGGACACAAACATTAAGCCCATAACAAAGGAGGATCCCTGAGCAGGGAATTGGGCACAGGGATCTAAGACAGGGAATTGTATGATCAGATCCCCAGGGCAGAATAGAGGCTTGGTCATAAGTTAGGCAGAATGGAGACACAGTTCTAGAAAAGGATTCGTAGCAAGTTGTCTTGATGGTAAACCAAGGTCCAGAGTTGGGCCTCTTTAGCTTCCTCCTGACTGGAGAAAGCAGGTGTTCTAAAGGCTAGAGTAGGGACAGAGGAGGAGAAAGGAAAACTAACATATATTGAGTACTTTTATGAGGCAGTTTATGTATGAGGTAAAATTAATATTACCATTTTACTGATGAGGAAACTGTGGCTCAGTGACCTGCTTAGCAAATTTCTATAGAATCTATGGCAGTGACATGAATATGGTATGGATACATCATAGAAAAGTCATGATATTAAGGATAAAATTCTAAAATCTGAATATCCACCCAACTCCAAATCTTTTCTTTGTGCATGTAATGACCATTTTCTGGGACTAGCCAGTTTGGGTTGGATTCTGTTCATATTATTGTCAAATATAAAAGCAGCTGGACATCAGTTAAAGTGCTGAGAATAGATTTTAATTGGTAATAACTATTGCAACAGGGAAAAGAGTCTAGCTTGAACCAAACTTAATTTCCATTTGTACAGAGGTGACTGGGCATTTTATTTTTTATTTTTATTTTTTATTTTTTTGAGATGGAGTTTCACTCTGTTGCCCAGGCTGGAGTCCAGTGGCACCATCTTGGCTCACCACAACCTCTGCCTCCCGGGTTCAAGTGATTCTCCTGCCTCACCCTCCCAAGTAGCTGGGATTGCAGGTGTCCACCACCATGCCTGGCTAATTTTTGTATTTTTAGTAGAGACAAGGTTTTACCATGTTGGTCAGGCTGGTCTCGATCTCCTGACCTCAGGTGATCCGCCCACCCCAGTCTCCCAAAGTGTTGGGATTACAGGCATGAGCTGCCACACCCAGCCTGTGATTGGGCATTTTAAAGGGTGAATGAGCTCAAGGGAGTTGGGGAAGTGAAAAATTACAAAAAGTGGGAAGGAGGGGTTAGTCCATGTGAAATCCATCTGGGTTTGCAAACTGGCATTTATCAAAGTTAGGCTCCTACCCTCCTACTGAGGCTGGAAGGCAGAGACCCTATCTTCAGGCGTTGATTGAAACAAACATTGAATTCTTCAGGCAGCCTTGCGTTTTCGCAGGCAGGCACTTTGAGAGAGGCTGGTGTTGTAGTGGTGTGGCCTCGAGCCATTAGAAGCTATATTAGTGTTTGTTCAAGTTGTTACAGGCTGAGGTTGAGAGGCCCGTTCAAGAAGCAGGCTCCGAGCCTGGCTAGAATTTGGTCAAAGAGAGAATCCATGTCACTATTCTCTAAATTTAGGAAATGAACAGATTATGACAACAATGTAAAAAAAAAAAAAAAAAAAAAAAAAAAAAAAAAAAAAAAAAAAAAAAGTTGGCACCCAAATTCATGCAGGAAAAATGAAGGTTAAAGGTCATAGGGAAGGGTCAGTGTTGGGGAATTGAGCTGGAACCAGCACTGACAATATTTGAAGGTATGGTTAGGTTTCACTGTGGCTTAATATTTTACAAATGTTATTCCCTGTCACATAGCTGAACTAAATACCACACATGTTTGCGATGAAGCATTATGAGCTGTAGAACATATGTGCTAATAATATGGTTCATGCAGCCTGTGGGCACTTCCCCCATGACCTAAGATGAAGGCGAGGCTTTTTAATTTTCCTCAAGGTATTGTGTTTTCCAATGGTTCCTTTTTGTTCCAAACTTTTGCTTTCCCCTTTAGAAGGAAGGCTTTTATAGGAATGATATTTTATTTTTATTTATTTATTTATTTTTGAGACGCAGTCTCACCCTGTCACCCAGACTGGAGTGCAATGGCGTGATCTTGGCTCACTGCAACCTCCGCCTCCCGAGTTCAAGCGATTCTCCTGCCTCCGCCTCCTGAGTAGCTGGGATTATAGGTACCCACCAATGTGCCTGGCTAATTTTTGTATTTTTAGTAGAGATGGGGTTTCTCCATGTTGGCCAGGCTGGTTTCGAACTCCTGACCTCAGGTGATCTGCCCACCTGGGCCTCCGAAAGTGCTGAGATTACAGGCGTGAGCCACTGTACCTGGCCAGGAATGATATTTTAAATACTGTCATAGCAAGCCCTTAAGAAAATTCTTCACAGCTGCATGTTTACACACTGGCTTGTCCTTGACTGGCTTTGTCTCCAGGATGTACAGTTGTTTCTGGAATGCACAGTAGCTGGCTTGCAGCCCTCCAATCATGCAAAAACAGACTGAGGGTTTGGAAATGCTGCTCCAGTCTAGTTACAATGTTGCTCTTGAGGAGTCTGGCGCTATAGGGAGTCTGAGAATTCCTTATTTGAGAAACAGCCAATGGAACCACACAGACACACTGACATTAAGACATTCTTTCTCTAGATTATGCAGCATTATTACAGAGCAAAGAGAAGCCACAGGCGTGAAGTACTCAATTCAGCCCTCTGCTGAAGGACAGGGTGTTCCTGAGGCTTAAGTAGGAACTGGCCCAACAGGGACAGTTTGGTTGGGCTGATACCAGGAGGCTACTGAGAGGTGTTGATGCCTTCCTGAGCTCTGCTGAATACCTCCCCAGCATCATTCCTTCCCCGACATCTGGCAGAAACAGCGGAGCCAGACAGTAGGGACCACACTGGAGGGTGCTTTTCCCCACAGATGCATACTGAAGTGGGGACAAAGTCTTCAGCTGCAAATGACCTGGATTGCTGTTTCACCTATCACATGCATCTAATCTGACTTCAACAATCTACAGGAGAAGGTAGAACTTCATATTTACATTTTATTTGAGTGGTTTATGAAGAAAAGTAGAGGAAAACTGCAAAGAATGGCAGAAGTAGACTCTTGAGGATGGAGGGGAGTAGGGGATGATGGTGTGGGAGGGATGGACTTTGCAGGGACTTACACAAAGTTTGGAAAATTACACAGAATACCAGAATCATTGCTAAAAGAGAGGCGGGACACCTAAATATATTTATTAGACAACAATTCTGAGAAATTGTTCATCACTGACGGTAGGACAGCCAGTTGATGCAGTCAAGAAGGGGCAGGAAATAGGGCGAGCTGAGTTATGAAAGCCATTCTCAGAAATGACCCAAATTTACACTGAGCTGTTGTTCTTGAGCAACCTTGGGGAAAATTATCACAGAGTCTACTTTTCCCACAGCCTGATGTCCAAGGGGCAGATACATGTGGTGGGCTTGCTGGGGAAATAGGCTCTTCTCAGGTGAGAACAGCATCCTTCCAATCTAGAACTCCTGGCTCCAGAAAGTGGTGGTGGCTCTGCCCTGGTGCTGTTCCATTAGTAAAGGGTGGGGTGGTGGAAAGTGCAGAAAAGCCAGGACCCCTGACACCAGCAAGGCATTGGATCTCTCTGGATCTCCAGGGTGATGGACTTTGGGATCGGACAGACGTGGTCACAGTCTAGGTTCTACGTCTTACTGGTCGGGCAACTTTAGGCAAGTAGCTTAGCTTCTTTGAACTTATTTTCCTCTTCTACAAAATAATGATAATATTGCTTCATGAGATTGTGAGTATTAAATGAGATCATGCATATATAGCCTACAGCCCTGAGCACACCATGAACACATAGTTATTTGATAAATGTTTGTTAGTGTGGTTAATTGAACAGAATGCCTTCAATGTCTTCCTAACCCTAAAATCCAGTGATTCTTTGAACTGGGGAGGGCAGTAGAGAGATTTAATTTGTGGAAAAACGAAAAAACCATTTAAAATTATTCAATCAGAAATGTATTAAGCTTTGTGTAGTTGTGTCAGGCATTTGTAGACAGTGTGGAAAATGTCTTATCCAGTGATTCTTTGAACTGGGGAGGGAAGTAGAGAGATTTAATTTGTGGGAAAGTGCAAACACCATTTAAAATTATTCAATCAGAAATGTATTAAGCTTTTCGTATTTGTGTCAGACATTTGTAGACAGTGTGGAAAATGTCTTAATAAATGAGACATGCTCTTTCCTTGAAAAAGCTTCAGTCTGATTCTCAAATAATATATTAATTTTTTCCTATGATAGCTTGAAAGATTTTATCTTTAAATTCCTTTTTGTGAGATTGTTTTTCCATACCAGTGCTTCTTATTTATACGGCTTGTTGCAAGTAATTTGCAATATTATTACAGGTTGAGTATCCCTTACACCAAATGCTTAGACCAGAAGTGTTTTAAATTTTTTTGGATTTTGGAATATTTGCATCCCCAAATCTAAAATGCTGCAGTCAGCTTTTCCTTTGAGTGTCATGTTGGCATTCAAAACATTTTGAATTTTGGAGCATTTCAGATTTTGGGTTTTTGAATTAGGGATAATCAATTCATAATAATATTTAAGGTATTGCTGTTTGTGAAAGATGTGTTTTTAAACGATTTAGAGTCAGTTCATGATAATCTCCATAATACTCTTACAAGAATTCCAGGCTGGGCATGGTGGCTCATGCCTGTAATCCCAGCACTTTGGGAGGCAGAGGCAGGCAGATCACTTGAGGTCAGGAGTTTGAGGCCAGCCTGGCCAACATGACGAAACCCCGTCTCTACAAAAAATACAAAAATTAGCAGGGTGTGGTGGTGTGCATCTGTAATCTCAGCTACTTGGGAGGCTGAGGCAGGAGAATCACTTGAACCCGGGAGGTAGAAGTTGCAGTGAGCTGAGATTGCACCACTGCACTCCAGCCTGGGTGACAGAGTGAGGCCCAGTCTCAAATTAAAAAAAAAAAAAAAAAAAAAGAATTCCAATATGATTTCTTAAGTGGGAGAAAGGGGTGGAGTGTACGAACTATGTGCGAATGCAGCCTTTGTTCATGCTTCGTGTGAACCCTCCTATCACCACTTAAAATGGTAGGGACAATGAATTAGTTCAGGGCTTCCCTAAATATGGGGAATGCTAAATTCTGGGTACATCCAAGAGCACGTGCTAGGTTTTTGAATGCCATTTGTCTCACATGTTGAGGTCTAAGATTGTTTCCTAGATCCTTGGTATTCCTGGTGTGAATAGGCATGTGTGTCTACTTTTAATTTCTTCTTGAGTTCAGTGCTTTGAAAACAGGCAGCTGAAGAAAATGTCTAATAGTCTAAAGAGGAAGCAAACACTTTCCTAGAAACCTTCGAACCTCTGAAATGGTTTTCTAGAAATTCTCGCCATAATATATTCTCCTTTTCTTTCTGGGCTTCATTCAGAGTCTTGATGTCTTGGCTATTGCTAAGTTTTTTTTTTTCCTTTCCCCAGACAGAGTATTGCTCTGTCCCCTAGGCTGGAGTGCAGTGGAGTGATCTTGGCTCACTGCAACCTCCACCTCATGGGCTTGAGTGATTCTCCTGCCTCAGCCTCCTGAGTAGCTGCGAGGAGCAATACCACGCCCAGCTAATTTTTGTATTTTTGGTAGAGACAGGGTTTTGCCATGTTGGCCAGGCTGGTCTTGAACTCCTGGCCTCAAGTGATCTGCCTGCCTCGGCCTTCCAAAGTGCTGGGATTACAGGCATGAGCCACCGTGACTGGCCTTGTCTCTGAATTTTGTGTGCAATTGTCCTCTAGGAATTTGCAGGATATTCCAGATTGAAAACAGACCTTCAAAAAGTATGGGACATGCAGGCTGGGATGGAGTCCACAGCTGAGGGAAAAGCCAGGGACTCAGAAGAGAGGAATCTTTGCTTCACACGAAGGCAGCTGGGGACTTGGTGCCGGGAGTCCTTGGTTCCCAGCTCTGCACTAACTGGTTTTGAGACTTTGGGGAAAGTGCCCAGATGCTGTGGTCTGCTCTGGATTGTCATGCAGTTTAAATGAGATGTTGCCTGTGAAGGGCTTTCTGGGAGGAACAGTTACATATCTAGACCAACCCTACTTGTAATGCAGGAACAGAACAAAACAAAACTGAAGTTACATAGATGCTGCCACTTGAATACTCTTGGATTGCAATGTCTCAAAGTGCACAGGGTAAAGTAGCAGATGACTGAGGAAAATGCATCTAAACTTCTCTGAGCTTCTTATCTCTCAGAGACCCAATAGGCTTCTAACAGACCAAGGCCCTGGACAGGGTGTGGCCCCCTTTCCTACGAGAGGATTAGGAGGGAAGGAAAGGGAAGGAAGGTGATGCATGGAATTGATCTTAGTTGTTGACTTTGTGCCAACTGGCTGGTGGGTGTTGAGCCAGAAGAGAAAGATGAAGTCATAGAGAAGAAGGAGGTGAAAGAGGTGAGAGAAATGGAAGCAAGTGTAAAAAGGATTGATAGGCTGGGCTCAATGGCTCATGCCTGTAATCCCAGCACTTTGGGAGGCCAAGACAGGTGGACCACAAGGTCAGGAGTTTGAGACCAGCCTGGCCAACATGGCGAAACCCTGTCTCTACTAAAAGTACAAAAATTAGCCTGGCGCGGTGGCAGGTACCTGTAATCCCAGCTACTTAGGGGGCTGAGACAGGAGAATCACTAGAACCCGGGAGGTGGATGTTGCGGTGAGCCAAGATCGTGCTACTACACTCCAGCCTGGGTGACAGAGGAAGATTCTGTCTTGGGGAAAAACAAAAAGGATTGATAAAGGAAGATAGCAAGAGATTGAAGAGGGGAGGAAGAGGAGCACAGTGGGAAATAGGCCTCCCCTCGACAATGGGGAATCAGAGCTGCTGACTCCAGAATAGTATCAAACTTCTAAGATAAAGGTTTGGGTTCCTATTGGGCATCATATGAAGTTCTATTTGGTTGAATAAAACTCACATCACATTTGCTGACTGCTTCCTTTGGAAGAATCCTGGACGGGGTGAAATGTGGACAGTGAGGGGGTAGGAGTGCACTTTGCATAGATCTGGGGTTTAAGTTAGGAGGTTTTTGTGTAAGGTTTGCTTTAAAAAAATTCAGGGCTGCTTACAAAGTAATGGGCTTGATTTCCTTTGTCTTGCTTATGGAAATCAGTTTATTTGTCTCATAATAAGCAAAAACTTAAAAACCAACACCACTGTTGCTAATTTTGAAGCTACAAGGAAAACTGATGAGGTGAAATTTTTGGCATACATCAGAATTGTATTCGGTCTGAAACGGAATAATTTCCTCTTTTTCTTTTCTTTTTAATAAACCCAACTAAAGTAAATATTTTCCTGAGCTGTCATCCCATAGAAGGAGTTATTTTGGCTGGATGCCTTCTGAAGAGGGTGAGAAATAGTGCTGCTGACTTCCCACCTCTGAGCCTCCTGGTGCGTCCCAACGAAACCCTGCTCTCCCTGCTCTGAGGGAAGGTGCTTCACAGCAACTTCAGCCTGAGGGCGGTGACAGTGAAACGGCCTCCAGAGAGCCAGCAGCCTGGGCTGCCCTCCGCTGTGTGTTTTTGTGCCCTCAGGAATGTGTGGATGCAGCAAATGACAACAGTGAGTGCTGTGTCCCTAGCGGAGCCCCAGGCTCTCTCACTCTTTATGTTGGCTGTTTTCCAAGGTTGAATGATTGCATTGGTGGAAGCTTCATTATCCACAAGGGGAGGCAAGACAGTGGGCTGGAAGGAGAAAAATAGGCCTTTCCCAAGGGCATGATTCCAGCAGGGTTTGCATTTTTACATCAGTAGATCTCAGGGAGTTTCATTTTCTGTCAGTTTGGACGTTAGTGCTATCCTAGCTACTTGGGAGGCTGAGGCAGGAGGATCACTTGAGCCCAGGTATTTGAGACCAGCCTGGGAAACATAGCAAGGTCCCACCTCTGAAAAATAAATAAATAAATATCCCAGCACTAAAGCCCATGTATTTAGTGGTAATACAATTTCTGCTTTTGACAAAATTTTCCACTGGATGTCAACTACCATAGCATCACTTTGCAGTTGGAAAGGACCACAGAGCTCATTCTAGTGTAATCACTGAATGTCTGGAGAGGCTGTGCACACAGCTAGTGAGTGACAGAGCAATGCCTAGAATTTGGGTTATCCAAGCCCCACATCAGTGTTGTGGTCCTTACACTTCATTGCCTCTGGTGTCATTAGATTAATTTCAGTAATTTGTTTTATCAGGTTGAGCTGAAGTGACCTGTATTCAAACGCTGTTTTTTTCCACACCTAGGTGTATACTCAAGAGAAATGATCACACGAAACTTATACACAAATATTCAGAGCAGCATTATTCAAAATAGCTAAAAAGTGGAAACAAACCAAATGTCTATCAATTGATAAATGGATAAACAAAGTGTGATATTTCCATGCAATGAACTACTATTCAGCCTTAAAAAGGAAGGAAGCAGTGACATATGCTACAACATGGATGGCCTTGGAAACATGCTAGGTAAAAGAAACCCGACACAAAAGCCATGTGCTGTATGATTCAATTTATATGAAATGTCCTGAATAGGCAAATTCACAGAGACAGAAAGTAGTTTAGTGGTTTCGAGGGCCTGTGGGAAGGGGAAGGGGAGTATGTGGAGTGACTACTAATAAGTATACAAGGTTTATTATTGGGATGAAAAGAATGTTGTGAAATTTGGCCAGGCACAGTGGCGCACGCCTGTAATCCCAGCACTTTGGGAGGCTGAGGCAGGTGGATCACTTGAGGTCAGGAGTTCAAGATCAGCCTGGCAAACATGGCGAAACCCCATTTCTACTAAAAATACAAAAATTAGCCAGGTGTGGTGCTGTGTGCCTGTAATCCCAGCTACTTGGGAGACTGAGGCAGGAGAATCAGTTGAACCCGGGAGGCGGAGGTTGCAGTGAGTCGAGATCGTGCCACTGCACTCCAGCCTGAGCGACAGAGCGAGACTCCATCTCAAAAAAAAAAAAAAAAAAAAAAAAGAATGTTGTGGAATTTGATAGGTGTGATGGTTGCACAATTCTGTTAACATACTAAAAGTCACTGAATTGACACTTTTTTAAAAGGGTGAATTCATGGTATAGGAATTATATCTCAATAAAACTGTTATTTAAAAAATTCTGGCTCTACCTCTTACTGGCTGGGCGACTTTAGGCAATGAACCTGAAGCCAAGGCATCTCAGCTATGAAGCAGGAATAATAATACACTTTACAGGGTGTTTTTGATAAATGAGATTGTGAATTTGAAAATGTTTCTAAACTGTAAACCTCACATATTTTTGGACTGTCAGTGGGTTATAAGTTCATTATAAATTGGATTTTTATTCTTCTCCTCCTGTGTTTTTCACAATACTAACAAGGTCTGGGTACATAGTGATCACTCAAATAAAGATTTATTGAGTTGATTCGAATGTATTCCAGTTTTATTCAATTGTGGCAAATGAAACTACGTAACAGGAGATCTACTCTTTTAAAAGTTTTTAAGTGTACAAAACAGTATTATGAACGATATGCACATTGTTGTACAGCAAATCTCTAGAACTTTTTCATCTTACGTAACTGAAACTACATCCACTGAACAACAACTTCCTATTTTTACTTTCTCCCAGTTCCTGGCAACTACCGTTTTACTTTCTGCTGTATGAGTTTGACTACTTTACATACTTCGTATAAGAGGAGTCATGTAGGATTTGTCCTTCTGTGATGGGCTTACTGCACTTAGCATAATGGCTGAAGGTTCATCTATGTTGCAGCCTGCGTCAGACTTTTCTTCCTTTTAATACTGAATCATATTCTCTTGTATGAATATACTGCATTTTCTTTATGCATCCTTCCATCGATGAACATTTAGGTGGTTTCTATCTGTTGACTATTGTAAATAATGATGCAGTGAATATGAGAGTGCAAATATTTTTTCAAGACCTTGTTTTCAATTTTTTGAATAAATACCCAGAAGTAGGATTGCTGGATCATACGGTAGTTCTATTTTTAAATTTTTTTTTTTTCCCCCGAGATGGAGTTTTGCTCTTGTTGCCCAGGCTGGAGTGCAATGGCATGATATTCCATTCACTGCAACCTCCGCTTCCTGGGTTCAAGCGATTCTCATGCCTCAGCCTCCCAAGTAGCTGAGATTACAGGTGCCCGCCACCATGCCCGGCTAATTTTGTATTTTTAGTAGAGACAGGATTTCACCATGTTGGCCAGGCTGGTCTCGAACTCCTAGTCTTAGGTGATCAAGCTGTCTCAGCCTCCCAAAGTGCTGGGATTAGAGGTGTGAGCCTCCACAGCTGGCCCTATTTTTAATTTTTTGAGGGCCTTCCATATTATTCCTCATAGTGGCTACACCACTTTACATTCCCAGCAACAATGCACAAGGGTTCCGATTTCTTACATCCTTGCCAAGATTCGTTGTTTTCCCTTTTTTTTTTTTTTTTTTTTTTGAGACAGAGTCTCACTGTGTCTCCTAGGCTGGAGTGCAGTGGGATCTCGGCTCACTGCAACCTCTGCCTCCTGGGTTCAAGTGATTCTAATGCCTCAGCCTCCTGAGTAGCTGGGATTTCAGGCACCCGCCACCACACCCAGCTAATTTTTGTATTTTTAGTAGAGATGAGTTTTCACCATGTTGGCCAACTGGTCTTGAACTCCTGACCTCAAGTGATCCTCTTGCCTCAGCTTCCCAAAGTGCTGGGATTACAGGCGTGAGCCACTGTGGTTGGCCATGTTATCATTAAAAAAAAAAAAGAAAAAGAAAATAATGGCCATTCTAAAAGGTATGAGGTGATACCTCATTGTAGTTTTGATCTGCATTTTCCTGATGATTAGTAATGTTGAGCATCTTTTCATATACTTTCTGGCCATTTGTATGTCTTTTTTGGAGACATGTCTATTCAAGTACTTTTGCCAATTACTAAATTGCATTATTTATTTTCTTGCTGTTGAGTTTATTGAGTTCCTTATATGTTTTGGATATTAATTCCTTATAAGAAATGCTGTTTGCAAATATTTTCTCCATTCTTTATGTTACCTTTTTTACTCTGTTGATTATTTCCTTTGCTGTGCAGAAAGTTTTAAGTTTAATGGTGTCTCACTTATCTGTTTTTGCTTTTGTTGCCTGTGCTTTGCTGTCATATCCAAGGAATCATTGCCAAGACCAATGTTATGAAGATTTCCCTCTGCGTTTTGTTCTAAGAGTTTTATAGTTTTCACCGGACGCGGTGGCTCATCCCTGTAATCCCAGCACTTTGGGAGGCCAAGGCGGGCAGATCACGAGGTCAGGAGTTTGAGACCAGCCTGACCAACATGAGGAAACCCTGTCTCTACTAAAAATACAAAAATTAGCTGGGCGTGGTGGTGCATGCCTGTAATCCCAGCTACTCAGGAGGCTGAGGCAGGAGAATCGATTGAACCAGGGAAGTGGAGGTTGCAGTGAGTTGAGATCCGACCACTGCATTCCAGCCTGAGTGACAGAGCGAGACTCCCGTCTCAAAACAACAACAACAACAACAACAACAAGAAACAAACAAAAAAAGCCCAGAGTTTTATAGTTTCAAATCTTATGTTTAAATCTTTTATCTTTTTTTTTGAAACGGAGTTTCACTGTGTTGCCCAGGCTGAAGTGCAGTGACACAATCTTGGCTCACTGCAACCTCTGCCTCCCAGGTTCAAGCAATTCCCCTGCCTTAGCCTCCTGAGTAGCTGGGATTACAGTTGCATGCCACCAGGCCTGGCTAATTTTTTTGTATTTTTAGTAGAGACGGGGTTTCACCATGTTGGCCAGGCTGGTCTTGGACTTCTGACCTCAGGTGATCCACCCACCGTGGTCTCCCAAAGTGCTGGGATTATAGTCGTGAACCACTGTGCCTGGCCTTAATTTTTCTTCTTCCAATGTGGCTGAGGGAAGCCAAAAGATTGGACATCTCTGGTGTAAGATTACAGTTTAGTTTCACTCTTTTGCATGTGGATATCAAGTTTTTTCAACACCACTTTTTTTTGTTTTGAGAGAAAGTTTCTCTCTTGTTGCCCAGACTGGAGAGGAATGATGCAGTCTCTGCTCACTGAAACCTCCGCCTCCCAGGCTCAAGCGATTCTCCTGCCTCAGCCTCCTGAGTAGCTGGGATTACAAGCATGCGCCACCATGCCCAGCTAATTTTTTGTATTTTCGGTAGAGACAGGGTTTCTCCATGTTGGCCAGGCTGGTCTCGATCTCCTGACCTCAGGTGATCTGCTCTCTTCAGCATCCCAAAGTGCTGGGATTATAGATGTGAGCCACTGCACCCAGCCCTCTTTCTTCTTCTTTTTTTTTTCCTCTGAGATGGAGTCACGCTCTGTTGCCCAGGCTGGAGTGCAGTGGCACATTTTGGCTATAAAATTCCCTCTGAGTACTGCTTTTGCTGCATCCCATAAATTTTGGTGTGCCATGTTTTCATTTTCATTTGTCTCAAGATATTTTCTAATTTCCTTTTTTATTTCTTCTTTGATCCATTGGTTGTTCAAGAGTATGTTAATTTTCAAATATTTGTGAATTTTTTAGTTTTCCTTCTATTATTAATTTCTGGTTTTATTCCATTGTGGTTAGAAAAAATGTTTGTGTGATTTCAGTCTTCTCACATTTGTTAAGATTTGTTTTGTAACCAAACATGTGATCTGCTTTGGAGAATATTCTGTGTGTGCTTTAGAAGAATATGTGTTCTGCTGCTGTTAGGTGGAATGTTCTGTATTGGTCGGGCAGTTTAGTTTAGTTTATAGTGTTCAAGTCTATTGTTTCTTTAGTGGTCTTCTGTCTGGATGTTCTGTGTATTGTTTAAAGTATGGTGTTGAAATCTCCAATTATTAATGAGTGGCTATCTGTTTCTCCCTTCAATTCTATTAATGCTTGCTTCATATATTTGGATGCTCTGATGTTGGATATATAAATATACATATATTTTGAGATGGAGTTTCACTCCGTCACCCAGGCTGGAGTGCAGTGGCACTTTCTCAGCTCACTGCGACATCTGCCTCCCAGGTTCAAGTGATTCTCCTGCCTCAGCCTCCCGAGTAGCTGGGAATACAGGTGACCACCACAATGCTTGGCTAATTTTTGTATTTTTTTGTAGAGACAGGGTTTTGCTATATTGACCAGACTCGTCTCGAACTGCTGACCTCAGGTGACCCGCTTGCTTCGGCCTCCCGAAGTGCTGGAATTACAGTTATGAGCCACTATTCCCAGCTGGGTTAATATATATTTATAATTGTTATGTCTTCCTGGTGAATTGACTTTTTTATCATTATATAATGTCCTTCTTTGTCTCCTATGATAGTTTTTGACTTAAAGTTTATTTTGCTTAAGTATGGCTACTCCTGCTCTCTCTTAGATAACATTTGCATGGAATATCTTTTTTCATCCTTTCGCTTTCAGCATATGTGTGTCCTTAAATCTAAAGTGAGTCCCTTATAGACAGCATATAGTTGGATCCTGGTTTTTTTCTTTTTTAAATCCACTTAGCCACCAACAGAATTATAATTTTTAAGCATTTCTTTGAACTTGGTTAATCTGTAAATCTGGATGCTTTTACATCCAAATATTTATCAGAACTAAAGACCTTTAGTAATGATTCCCCCCTTCATTTTGTATGCCTATTTTCTCTTTATTTTATTTTTTTTTAACAGAGACAACCTATTTGATTTCTTGACAAGACCACAATCTGATCCCAAAGATGTGCTCCACAAACCCAGGCAATTGGGTCACCTTTGATGATGATCCTGCTTTCCAATCTTCTCAAAAGTCAAAGAATTTTCCTCTGGAGAATCAAGGTGTCTCTAGACCAAATGGACTGAAGCTGAACCTTCCTGGCCTCAAGGAATTTCCCAGTGGATCTTCCTCCACCAGCAGCACCCCTCTCTCCTCCCCCATTGTAGACTTTTATTTCAGTCCAGGACCTCCAAGTAACTCTCCTCTTTCTACACCTACCAAAGACTTCCCAGGTTTTCCTGGCATCCCCAAAGCAGGGACTCATGTGCTTTATCCTATTCCAGAATCATCTTCAGACAGCCCACTCACAATATCAGGAGGAGAATCTTCCTTACTGACTACCGGACCAACGTGTTCATCCCATGCCTTGTTGCCCAGTGACCACTCATGTGCACATCCAGCTCCCAAAGTAGGTCTTCCAGATGAAGTTAACCCTCACCAGGCTGAAAGCCTAGGATTCCAAAGTGATGATCTCCCCCAGTTTCAGTATTTTCGAGAGGACTGTGCTTTTTCAAGTCCATTTTGGAAAGATGAAGGCAGTGATTCCCAGTTCACCCTTGACCCACCAGGAAGCAAAAAGATGTTCTCATCAAGAGACAAAGAGATGCCTAATGATCAAAAAAGCCTAAATAAGTGTTCACTCAACTATATCTGTGAGAAGCTTGAGCATCTCCAGTCAGCTGAGAACCAAGACTCACTTAGAAGTTTGTCTATGCACTGTCTATGTGCTGAAGAAAATGCCTCTTCCTTTGTCCCTCATGCACTCTTCAGGAGTCACCCAAAAGCTGGATGGTCTTTCATGCTGAGAATTCCTGAGAAGAAGAATATGATGTCTTCCCGGCAATGGGGACCAATTTTTCTGAACGTTTTGCCTGGAGGAATTTTGCAGATGTATTATGAGCAGGGATTAGAAAAACCTTTTAAAGAGATACAGCTTGATCCATATTGTAGGCTTTCTGAACCCAAGGTTGAGAACTTCAGTGTAGCAGGAAAAATCCATACTGTGAAGATTGAACATGTGTCTTACACAGAAAAAAGGAAATACCATTCTAAGACAGAAGTAGTTCATGAACCAGACATAGAGCAGATGCTGAAGTTGGGGTCCACATCGTACCATGACTTCCTTGACTTTCTGACTACTGTGGAGGAGGAGCTGATGAAGTTGCCAGCTGTTTCAAAACCAAAAAAGAACTATGAGGAGCAAGAAATTTCCTTAGAAATTGTGGACAACTTTTGGGGTAAAGTCACAAAAGAAGGGAAATTGGTTGAAAGTGCTGTGATAACTCAAATTTATTGCCTCTGCTTTGTGAATGGGAACCTGGAATGCTTTTTAACCTTGAATGACCTTGAGCTGCCGAAGCGAGATGAATCCTATTTTGAGAAGGACTCAGAAAAAAAAGGGATTAATATTCTTGACTACCATTTTCATAAGTGTGTGAAAGTACAAGAATTTGAGCAATCAAGAATCATTAAGTTTGTGCCTCTGGATGCCTGCCGGTGTGAGCTGATGCGTTTCAAGACTTTGTATAACGGGGATGATCTTCCGTTTTCCTTGAAGTCTGTAGTGGTTGTCCAGGGAGCATATGTGGAACTTCAGGCTTTTGTCAACATGGCCCCATTGGCACAGAGGTCATCCCATGCTGGTTCCTTAAGGTCCTGTGACAATATAATGATACACTTTCCTGTCCCATCGCAGTGGATCAAGGCCCTTTGGACCATGAACCTCCAGAGGCAGAAGTCTCTGAAAGCCAAAATGAACCGCCGGGCCTGTCTGGGGAGTTTACATGAACTTGAATCTGAACCTGTCATTCAAGTCACTGTGGGGTCAGCAAAATATGAGAGTGCCTACCAGGCAGTGGTATGGAAGATAGATCGGCTTCCAGACAAAAATTCAAGTAAATATTCAATACCCCAAGTTTATTTTCATGGGAAATAGCTTAAATATTCTCACCTTCCTCTTTGGGTTGAAACCAGATAGAGCTAGGTGGCAATTTGTCAGCTGAGGCCATGCTTTGGGGTGGGAGATGGAACATTTAGCTCAAGAGCTGGTTTATTTGTTTCCTTTTGCACCTATTCTTACCAGATAAGTTTAACTGTTTAACATTTTTTTAATGTCATATGAAATACCATGCTAGGCTAGGAATTTGTTGTGGATGGTGGCACTAAGAGAAAATTCGTTGATATCCATGGTTGAGATTAACTCATCAACTTCAAATGTTAAAAATGTTTCTAATATAGCTGAGATTCCCTAATTAATCTTTAAAGATCTATCACCCATGAATATACCTGAACTTTTTTGCATTCTCAGCCAATACCACTTCTTCCTTAGGTTTGCTCCCTGCTCTTTGAAATAAGACTGCTTTCCTTTTTACCCAAATTGATTTTTGTTGACTGAATTCACCTATTTGGCCATCTCAACTGGTATTGTTTTTGTTTTTGACATGGGATCTCACTCTTATCCAGACTGGAGTGCAGTGGCACGATCATGGCTCACTGCAGCCTCCACTTCCCAGGCTCAAGTGATCTTCCTGCCTCAGCCTCCTCAGTACCTGGGACTACAGATGCATACCGTCGTGCCTGGCTAATATTTTGTTTTTTAGTAGAGGCAGGGTCTCCCGATGTTGCCCAGGCTGGTCTTGAATTCCTGGGCTCGAGGGATCCTCCCACGTTCGCCTCCCAAAATGCTAGGATTACAGGTGTGAGCCACCTCATCTGGCCTCAACTGGTTGTTTTAAAAGAATGAGGTGGACATATTTGAGTGTTAAAAATTCAGTTAATTTTTAAAATTTTGTAAAGAAAAAATTATCTAGAAGTCAGAACTTGAAAAGACAGTTATAGTACCACATTTATTTTGGAGTAGTAAGTTAGTAGTGGGCATAATACAATAAAGTCAAAAACCAAATTTTAACATTAGAGCTCTTCCCTATTTAGTTGAAGTTTTTTTTTTTTTTTTTTTCTTTTTTTTTTTTTCTGTTTTCCCCTAGCAGAGCACTGGTCACTGGTCTCTAGAGTTAAACTGGGGGCAGAGTTGGGCGACCTGAGTTGATGCATTCATCCATCCATCCATTCATCCATCCATCCATCCATTGATCCAAATTGTTTTTTCTTTTTATTTTCTTTTTCTTTTTTTTTTTTGAGACGGAGTCTCACTTTCTCACCCAGGCGGAGTACAGTGGCACAATCTCGGCTCACTGCAACCTCCACCTCTTGAGTTCAAGGGATTCTCCTGCCTCAGCCTCCCGAGTAGCTGGGACTACAGGCAGCCACCACCATGCCTGGATAATTTTGGTATTTTAGTAGAGACAGAGTTTCACCATATTGGCCAGGGTCGTCTCAAACTCCTGACCTTGTGATCCTCCTGCCTCGACCTCCCAAAGTGCTGGGATTACAGCATGAGCCACTGCGCCTGGCCCATCCATCCAAATCTTTACTGAGCACTTACTGTGTACCAAGTGCCACATCAAGTGCTGGGGGTAAAGATAAATAAAAATCTGATCCCTGTTTCCAGATGGCTCACAGCTGCTGTAGTCCTTCAGAGAAATTTAAGCTCATCTAGGACCCTCCAGGCTGTGGACTTCAGAGGAAGCATTTTTCTTTGGGGTGGCCTAATGTCAGTATTTCTCAAACTTGGCTTTATTATTATTATTATTATTATTATTTTGAGATGGAGTCTTACTCTGTTGCCCAGGCTGGAGTGCAGTGTGATCTCAGCTCACTGCAACCTCCACCTCCCAGGTTCAAGTGATTCTCGGGCTTCGGCCTCCTGAGTAGCTGGGACGACAGGCATGAGCCACCACGCCTGGCTAATTTTTGTATTTTTAGTAGAGATGGGTTTTCCCATGTTGGCCAGACTGGTCTTGAACTCCTGACCTCAAGTGATCCACCCGCCTTGGCCTCCCAAAATGTTGAGATTACAGGTGTGAGCCACCATGCTTGGCCAAACCTGACTATGTTAGAATAACTTGAAAGCTTTCAGATAATCTCAATGTTCAGGCTTCACTGCATGCTAATTAAACCAGAATCTCTGGCAGGGGTCAGGGGAGGGAGCCAGGTACCAGGTATTTGTTTGAAGATCTCTCCAGATATAAGGTGTAGCCAGAGGGAAGAACACTGCTCTCCAGGTGTTGTAAAGTTGTAGAACCAGAAGAGCAAGCCCCAGACTACAATTGACTTGAGGGGCAGCATTGCCTGCACCCTGGAGGCCATGGGACCTTGTCCATGACTCTCTGTTTGTTGGTTTAACATCTGTTGACTGATGAGAGCTTGAGCTATGGGCAGGATCCTTCAGGTGAGAGACACAGGCGTGGTGAGCTGAGGACCTCCAAGACCCTGTGCGGAAGGGAAGTTCCTACATTGTCTTTCTTCCTGACACCCCACACCCTTCTTCATTAATGCCAAATTTCACCCCACAGCGTTCTCAAGAATCACATTAATTATGTTCAGTTCCCCCAAACTAGCAAGGATAGCTCAGCCTTAGGGCAGAGTGAGGTGGTGATGGTGCAGCGTGGTCACAGTGAATGGCCTCAAACAGCACATTCTGATCAACTCTGCTGTGATGGGAGGGAAGGTCGGTATCTTCCATCATACCATGATACAATCCACTGAGATAATGTTTCCTGCTTTCTGTGTTTTTTTTGAAATGGAGTGTTGCTCTGTTGCCCAGGCTGGAGTGCAGTGGTGCTCACTGCAACCGCTGCCTCCTGGGTTCAAGCAATTCTAGTGGTTCAGTCTCCCAAGTAGCTAGGATTACAGGCCCACACCACCACACCTGGCTAATTTCTTATATTTTTCATAGAGATGGGGTTTCACCATGTTGGCCAGGCTGGTCTCGAACTCCCGACCTCAGGTGATCCACCCGCCTCGGCCTCCCAGAATGCTGGGATTACAGGTGTGAGCCACCGTGCCTGGCCCCTGCTTTCTTTTATAACTTAGCTAGAGAGGCAAATTGGACCATTTGCATCTTCATGCCAGAGAAACCAGTTTGGAGGTCTTCATACAAGGTTCCAAATGGTCTATTCTAAAAGTTATTTGCGCTAGTTTTAGGTTACAGGGTATAAACAAAATCAGAGTATTAGCTTTTGTTTTGCTAAACAAAAAGGGAAAGAGAGGCAGGCAGAAAGTCAGGCAGGCTGGAATGCCTATTGGAACCTCCTGGATCTGCAGGTTTCCCCTGAAATCTGGGTGGTAAACTAACTCCTGTTGTTTTCTGTTGATCCTATAGAGATGGTCACAGGGACTGGAACAAAAGGTCCAAAGCAGTTTTTGCATAGACTTGAAGTGGTAATTATGCTTTTGAGAGAGAAGCACAATAGGCTCAGGCTGTGGGCTTGTGCACGTGATGTCAGAGGGACAAGAGCACAGGCCCCCTTTGTAGTCCATTCCTATTGCTCTACTTAGAGCAGGTGCCCCGGGAGGCCCTGAAGGAACTAAGCACTTGGCTAAAGCCTGGCCAGGGTGACCACATTTAATTTTCAAACTGAGAAACCATACCAATCACCTTTTCTAACTTTGGGAGTGCAGACATATATGAAGCTTTTTGTGAAAATGATCCTGTTTATAACACTGCATTTTTTTTTCAGAGTTAATGGGGTAGTTAACTGATTCAATCAACAATAATTTATTGAGAAGGAGGCTCACTCATTTACTCCACAAACATCTGCGAAATTTCTTCTAGGTATAGGCTCTGTGCTGAATGTTTAGGAGATACAGACACAGACATGATTCCTACTCTATCAGAAGCTTAACAGTCTAGAAGGTGAGACAGACGCTGAAGCAGCCACCCAAATGCACTGTGGAAAAGTGCACAGCTCCAGGCTTAGACAAACAGACGCACTTAGGGATCCCAGAGGAAAGGGTGATAAATTGCCTGGGGACTAGGGAGGGCTTCGCTTAAGAGCTGATGGCTAGGAGAGTCAATAGAGTTTCCATCAAAGAAAGAAACAGCAGAACCACAGGTGTGTAGGTGGGGGCTCTTACCTAAGTTTTGGGGCTGAGGGAGTGGTGAGTGAAGATACCAGTGTATGAAGACCTTGTGGGCCATGCTGTGGGGTGTGAAGTTTACCTGTCAACAGGGCCTCAGGGTTGTTTTCAGGTGTGACTGCTACAGAATCATATCTTGTTTCAGAAATGCCAGCGTGCAGTGCAGAGGAAAGATTTAGGAGTAGATTATAGACACAGGGAAGTTGGGAGGAGGTGAGGGATGCTGAGCAAAGGCAGTGGCAGTGAGAGAGGCAAGAGATGGGTGAGCAAATTCAGAGGAGATGCCCCTCAGTGATGATAGATTCTCTATGGGCATGAGGGAAAGCGAGGGGATGGGACAAGGTCAGGGACTCTGGCTTTGGTGGATAGGTGGGCAATGGTGCCATTAGCTGAGATCACCTGGGATCTTCTCATCACCTATCCTTTTACAATCTGTTTCCCAGCCCTGGCCACATGTTAGCATCATTAAAGCTTCAAACACATACCCATATTTGGTCCCCATCCCCTACTAATCAGGCTCTGTGAAGATGAGGCTCAGGTATTGATGTTTCTAAAGGCTCATGCAGCCAGGGTTGAGAACTACTGACCTGATCCCCTCGGCAGGAATCATTCCTCCCTGCTCTGCATATGCCTGTGTCTTCTAGAGCTCTATTATTGCTTTCCCGTGAGTATTTATTTACTTATTTATAAGACAGAGTCTCGCTCTGCCACCCAGCCTGAAGTGCAGTGGCGTGATCTTGGCTCACTGCAACCTCCATCTCCTGGGTTCAAGAGATTCTTCTGCCTCAGCCTCCCGAGTAGCTGGGACTACAGGTATGCACCACCACGCCCGGCTAATTTTTATATTTTTAGTAGAGACGGGGTTTCACCATATTGGCCAGGCTGGTCTCAAACTCTTGACCACATGACCTGCCCGGTTTGGCCTCCCAAAGTGCTGGGATTATAGATATGAGCCACTGCGCCCGGCCTCCCATGAGTATTTATTAGCAGTGGAGCTCACCAAGAACAATAGCAAGAATGGACATTTCCAGGGAAACTGGCTGGACCTGATCTTGGCCTTCAGGAATTCTTTTGTAAAACTCTCATATCACTAGGCCCACACAGGACAACATTTTACAGGCATTTCAGTCAATTACACAGTGATAATTCACTGAATAAATCCTTTGGGATCACAGCTGCTTTATTGAGATCAGGTCTGTGCACAAAGAGGAGGCCCAGGGAAAACACAGTGGGGCTGTGTCAGGTGGCGTCCAGAGGGCATGGTGCAGCTGTGGGCCTGGCTTGGGGCAGGACATATCTGGGATTACAGGGCCCTGCACCAAGCTTCTCCATTGAGGGGGTGGGGAGGGCAATGCAGAGAGTGAGAGGGTGCCAGGGCAGGCTATAACCTAATTTGCCTCTTGAGAAGTATGGTAATAATAAGATTGGAGCAGAAAGGAAATCTTTGTCCCGAGGCAGTGCTTCTCAAACTTGTGTGTGCCGAGGAATCACCTTGTTAAAATGTGGATTCCGACTGAGCAGGTGGGATCTGGAATACTGTGTTTCTAACAAGTGCTGATGTGATGCCAATGCATCTGGCCCAAGGAACACACTTAGAACAGCAGGATCCCAGAGTGCCTCTCTATTTTTCTATATGACTTTTAGATCAGTTGTGTATTTAGAGAACATAAAGTTTTTAAAAAACTCTTTAAAATTTTATCCTTTTCAAGATAGTTTCTGAAAAACATGCATTACTTGAAAAGATACTTTGAAAATGGAGACAGAATGAAAACACTGGAGTGCAGTGGGGAGATCTCAGCTCACTGCAACCTCTACCTCCCAGGCTCAAGCCATCCTCCCACCTCAGCCTCCCAAGTAGCTGGGACCACAGCATGTACCACCATGCCTGGCTAATTTTTTGTATTTTTGGTAGAGATGGGGTTTTGCCGTGTTGCTCAGGCTGGTCTCGAGCTCCTCAGCTCAGGCAATCCACCTACCTTGGCCTTCCTAGTGCTGGGATTACAGGTGTAAACTACCGCACCTGGCAAGAACATATAAACTAGTCTACTACGCTCTAATTATAAAACTTTTTTTTTTTTTCTTTTGCCTTCCTGGGAATTTGAGGGATCAGGATTGGCATTTTTTATTGGGGAAATCACCTGTGATTTCTGGAAAGGAGGGGAGGGGTACTGGTCCCTTAATGTCCCTTCTAACCAGCTTGTCAATGCTTAGTATTCCTTCAACAGTGGGCAGTTCTCTCATTTTACAACAAAGGTTTGCCTGAGGCACTAGCTCACAGACTTCATTCATACTAAGGTGTGAATGACAGCAGAGGAGCTTAGGCTGTTTTTGGGGTGCTAGAGAGAAAGAGAGAGAGAGAGAAAGGAAGAAAGAGAAATACAGCTGAAGACAAATGAGGATGCTGGTTAGCCAGAGGAGGTGTATATGGTGGCACAGAATTATGAAGAGGAATGAGAGTGGTGGAGGATCAATTAAATATATCTACTTCTAATTCCCACATTTTTCTACTTTTCTCTTTTTTTGTCTGCCCTGTCATCAGCACGTTGGTTGCTCTCTACTCCTCCACTTCTGTTATCATCTTGCTATTCATTCCCTTTGGTCCTCTAACAGTTCAGTTTCAGATGTAAAATATTTTGGTTCAAGAGGGACTGGATATCAACTAGACCTAAGATTTTGTGATTTACTGATTCCCTGTCCGAAGAAAAGGAATGATGTTGAGAGAACAATGACCAAAGCTGGACAGTTCCCCCTGGTGGTCAGCACTGAGACAACATGATTTTCCTTTATCTTTTATTCATTAATCGGTGAATTTGACAAATTATCCGTGAAGCCCCAAACATGACAGACATTGTGCTAAGGACAGACATGACACCTGTCCCTATGGAGCACAAAGTCTGAAGAGGGAGTGTGTTACTAAACATTGTAGAGCATTTAGCATTTTCAAAAGCCTTAAGAAATAAGCCAGAAAATTGGAAAGGAAAAAGGCTTTCTTTTACCATTTTTAAAGAAAAGCGGTAGAAAGGTTTTGTTTCTGACACTTTTGTAGCACTGAGTCTTCAACTTGGGTTTAGTTCTTTTCTTCAATTTTCCTCGTAAAATTTCCCCAAATAAGTTTTTCTTATAAAGTGTGAGTATCAAATCAGATCATGTCTAGTATAGTTTTTGACTCTGAATGTGTAGCAGTCACAGTCTCTTTATTAGCAAAATTATAGTAATTAAACAATGCTGGCTTTATAATTGAATAGCACTTCACAAAATAATATGTCTAGCTCATCTATATTGCTATAGAATACTACAGCCCCAGTGCTGTATGTGTATGAACTGGTTAATCCTCACAACAGCCCTTATAAGATTCAGGTTATCCTCATTATCCACATTTTCAGATGGAGAAACTGAGGCTCAGAGAGATAAGCAATTTGTAACCCTAGCCTTAATCACTTTGCCATAACAAGACTGAGGAATGCCTGCAGTAAGTGTAAATGAACTTACTGTATCCTCACTGCAGGCAGAGGACTAGAAAGAGTAATGGAGTGGAATCTCTCTGGGTGTGTGTGTATGAGAATGAAGTTATCACTTGCCTGCAGTGATCCGGGTTGTTAAGAGCACCTCAGAGGCCACTGTTGTCCTACCCTTCCTGTAAGTGGTAGAGATGGCTAATGAGCATCTGTTGGTTAATTGATTGATGACTTCTCAAGGCTTTTTACAGCCTTATAATTCTATTATTCACTCTACAAGAAACAGGTTGTATGGAAGGAAAGGGAATTTATCTTTTAAGAATTAAGTGAAATCCTTTAAACTCTTGTTTTTGTGCCTAAAGCTATATTCTGATGGGAATGCTGTTTCTCCAGCTATGTCAGTGGTACAGTAATTTAATTTGGTTCTTGAAATTACTCTTATGTCATACATTTATTTAAGTAAAGATAGCCACATTGGATATGGAGATGCCATGAACAATGCAACAGGATCACAGAATGTTTGTAAAGCTGCTGCAGTGATTACAATGAAAATATTTTTCATTTCCTTATAACACACACACACACATACTCTATGACCCCCATCTAAAATCTTTGAATATATCCAATATCTCTGGGTCTGGCACTGAACCTGGCCTGGCATAGCACAGATGCTCAATAAGTGACAAATTGAGTGAAAACCAATATTAGATTAAAATATTCAAGGCCAATATGCCCATTTCCACTCTCTATAGCTGTTCCAGTCAAAGTATTTTGGAAAGATGAGTGAGAATTACAGTAGGGAAAAATAATTTGTTCCACTGAAAAAAGAATTCTTGGCCTGGAACATTTTCTGAAAAGTTAAGTTTAGCTTTTAAAAATCAGAATTTTAAAATATGACTTAATTTGGGCTGAAGTTTGTTTTTGAGTTATCTATAAATAGATTGTAAGAAAATGAATAAATTAATAATTATAAGATGTTAGTCTAAGAGAAAGAGGCTTGTACAGGTCTTGAGCACATTGTGGCCAAATGATTATGTTTAATATAAATATTACTCATATCTTTTAATTAAGGAAAACAATTAAGTTTAGCAATATTACTATATTGTTTAATATAAATTAAACATTAATATTAAACAATATTGCTTAATATAAATGTTTAGCAGATTATATTAGTATTATAATACAGTAATAATATGATTATATTATATATTATATACTAATATAATCTGCTAAATATAGTAATATTTCTAATTAATATTAGTAATATTTCTAATTGAAAACGTTTTTAGGAGTTCATCTGTGCCTGCGTATAGTAATATATTTTTTATTTTTGCTATTTTTAAATTTTTACCACTCATTCAAAACAGTAATAAAGTCATACTTTTAAAGCTAGCACTTAAAAATCGTAGACAGCTTTCCCCTAGTTAGTGCAAAATCGTAGGTTTTCATGGTATGTTGTTTAAATGGAATTTGCACTGCTGCAGTGCTAATGAAATTCCTTAGTAAGAGAGATGAATGCCTTTTATGTTGAAGAGAAATGTTCAATGGCCATTAAAATACTTTGACTATTTGATTTTTTCTTTCCTCAAGGTCTTGATCATCCTCATTGTCTGTCATACAAATTAGAGCTTGGATCAGACCAAGAAATTCCCTCTGATTGGTATCCATTTGCTACTGTTGAGTTTTCCGTGCCTGACACCTGTGCCTCAAAGACAGAGGTCAGGTCTCTGGGGGTGGAGAGTGATGTCCAGCCACAGAAACATGTTCAGCAGCGAGCTTGCTACAACATCCAGGTACACCCCACAGCTTCCAGAACTGTGACCTGATTTGGCTTTAAATATTTGTTTTACTGTCTTTTGTGATTGTGTGTGTGTTGTGTGTGTGTATATGTGTGGTGGGATTTGCCCTAGAGAGGATCTCAGCTTTGGAAACTTGATGGCCACCATTGAGCTTAGCACTTCCTCTCCCTTCTGGAGAATGTTGGGAACACTTAAAAATTTAGCTCTCAATGAAAAACAGTATGTTAAAAATGAATCTACATTTTAGAAGTATATTTATAAGAAAAATTATGATGTTAGGGCACAATTTCTCAAAATATGTGCTGCAGAACACATGTCCCAAACAATTATCCAAGAAAAAAATAAGTTAGGGAATGCCATATACTAAATTAATGTTAAATAAAGGCCCCCAAGAAGTCCTGCAATAAGGAAACTTGTTAAACTTAGTTAACCCAGTTTTTCCAATTCATTGGCTATTGTGTCTTGTCTATGTGGGTGTGTGTGTATAAAACACTTATCCCTATCTTGTGGAATAGTATTCTGTGCAGCATGCTTTAGGAAATGCCGAGTTTCTCTATTATGGTAGTTTTCAGTTTTTTTTTTTTTTTTTTTTAAGATGGCATCTCACTGTGTCACCCAGGCTGGAGTGCAGTGGCATGATCTTGGCTCACTGCAACCTCCGCCTCCTGGGTCCGAGCGATTCTCCTGCCTCAGCCTCTCAAGTAACTGGGATTACAGGCACCACCATGCCCAGCTATTATTATTATTATTATTATTATTATTATTATTATTATTATTGTATTTTTAGTAGAGATGGGGTTTCGCCATATTGGCCAGGCTGGTCTCAAACTCCCGACCTTAGGTGACCTGACCATCTCGGCCTCCCAAAGTACTGGGATTACAGGCATGAGCCACCATGCCTAGCCTATTGGTAGCTTAAAGTTTTATTCAAAAATTTTAAATAGAGATGGGATCTCACTGTGTTGGTCAGGCTGGTCTCAAATTCCTGGTCTCAAGTGATCCTCCTGCCTCAGCCTCCCAAAGTGCTGGGATTACAAGTGTGAGCCACCATGTCCAGCCTGGTATTATGGTGGTTTTAAATGTCTGCCATCAGCTCTTCTGATGAACTTAGGACAGACATTCTTAGGCAGATGAACTAAAGGAGGACATACACTTATATCTGTTTCTAAACTTGTTTTCCCTCCTTATCCTCAAGTTTAGTACATATATGGATGTCCTCTGCCACATATTTCCCACAGTATCTTGAAATGGTGATATATCTTGCTGGTCTCGTTTAAAAGATTTTTTTTGTTTGTTTTTGGTTTTTTTTTTGAGACAGAGTCTTGCTCTGTTGCCCAGGTTGGAGTGCAGTGGCACGATTTCGGCTCACTACAACCTCCACCTCCTGGGTTCAAACAATTCTCCTGCCTCAGCTTCCCGAGTGGTTAGGATTACAGGCTCCTGCCACCACGCCTGGCTAATTTTTTGTATTTTTAGTAGAGATGGGGTTTCACCATGCTGGCTAGGCTGGTCTCAAACTCCTGACCTCATGATCTGCCTGCCTCGGCCTCCCAAAGTGCTGGGATTATAGATGTGAGCCACCACACGTGACCTAAACGTATTTTTTAACTAGAAAATATTTCAAAAATCACAAAAATTAGACATTGCATTACAGACAGGTGGTTCAGTTCAGAATTTATGTTTCCCTTCTGACTTTCACATGAGCAACATTTTATAATTTCTAATATCATTTATTTTATTTTTAAAAATTTAAATTTTGCCTGTGACACAGCCCTCAGGAGGTCCTGAGAACATGTGCCCCTCGAATAGCATTTTAAAATCTATGTGTTGCTTGACTTGCAGCAATGATTAATGCCATTCTGATTTCCTACTCATTTATTTCTATTAAAAATAGTGATATTATAGATGACATCGTTAATATCAACTGGGTTTCCTATACTATAGTAATGTGAGTCAGGATTTTTCTTTATTTTTGGACTATCTGTTTAGAAGTCTATGTTTGGGTCCAGTTACCTTTTTCTGCTGATAAAGGTAGTGATAGGTAGTGCTGTGACCTGAAGGATGTATTTCTCCAGCAGGTGGGAATTGCCTCGGCTGAAGATAGCTGCCTTCCCTGAGGTCATGCCTCCTTCCTGGAATCTAGGCAGGGGTGTACAGACCCCTTTGCATCAACTTGGGCTAACTCTGTAGGTCAGCCCAGCTTCAGCTCTCCAGGGCATGGGCAGAAGCCTTCATTCTGACTACATGGCAGCCCAGCTTCTCTCTCTGCCCATTTAGCTTCATTTCCTGCAATGTTTCCATGAATGTTGAACTCAATAGCACTCTCCAGTAAACTTTCTGCACACGGATCTCCATCTCAGAGTCTATTTCTTGGGGAACCTGACCTGTAACACTAGGTATATAAGTGTTATGTGTGACTCAAATGTGGGTTAAGTTGTCATAGAGACTACGTTTATACTTATTTTCCTATTCACAGGACGTGCCAGCTTCATGCAGTTTTAGTGGACAATTAAAAATTACAAAGTATCTCTAGCTTTAATGGCATTTACTAGTTGATCTGCACCTGGCGGCAGTTTCAAAATGTTTTCTTCCATTCAGTAATTCTCTGTTACAGTTTCAAAGTGCCAGATACCGCTCCACATGCAGACAGCAGTGTGAACAGAGAGACAAAGTCCCTGTCCTCATGGAGCATAGTTTCTAGTGGGGGGAAATGAAAAACAGTTAGTAAATAAATAAATCATATGATTTCAACTAATGACAAATTCTAAGAAGATAATAAAATAGGGTAACAGGATAGAGAACGACTGGAGGACTTTATCTGGGGTAGTCCTGGAGGACCTCCAGGAGGATGTGACGTTTGAGCTGAGACAAAAATGACGACGAGCAGATGGTTTGGCCCAGCTGGCTTACTATTAGTTTGCTGCAAAAGTAATCACGGTTTTTGCCATTAGTTTTGCACCAACCTAATAGTTTGTAAGCTGGTTTGTTTCAGTTAGATAATTTGGGTGCATTATAAATCTCAGGGGAGCCAATGGCTAGATATAAGATACAGCCATATATTCAGGGGGAGGGATAATTGGTCATATGTCTAGTCAGATCTCTAAATGTTTTTCTCAATATATGTATTCTGTACACATTTTATAAAAACTACGTTTGACTTAGAAGATAGTTTTGGTGCTCTTGAAGATTTGACCCTGGTGGGGAGGATTTGTGGGGGGCTCTGTTGTTCAAAAGGAGAGCAGAGTGCCTCACTTGGAAGCTGCTGTAGGAGGGTAGAGGGCTGTGTCTGTGTCCAAAGGGTGAGGTTTGTGCAGTCTGTGCTGCATGTATAAAATAGGACTGAAGAGGTGTGAGTGCTGCGTTGCATTTGTTAATGCTGCCTGTGTTTTGCTTTTGCATAACAGGTTGAAATAGAAAAGAAGTGGATTAAAATCGATGGAGAAGACCCAGATAAAATTGGTGACTGCATAACTCAGTAGGAGTAGCGAGAGTTTATGATGACAGCCCACTTGTCAAATATGTAATTCACTGAAACACACCAAGTCCTGCTACTGTGGAGTGGAAATGACTTCTGAACAGTGGTTTTAAGACAGGTCTGATGGCTGTGTTTAGAGAAGTTTAGACCTAAAACTGAACAATCTGTGTTTTATGCTTTTCATATGTTTTTGTCCTAGGGATTCGATCTAAAATGTTTCTATAATTTGTGTGATGTTTTGCTTCCTATTGAAACTCAAAGGCACAGTTACTCGTTGTGTGACCCTGCAGCCAGTTTGATTTTTGATTACTCACTGGCTGATTGTTTTGCTCCCTGGATTACTGAGGTGCCGTCTTTATTTTTTCCCATCTCTTCTTGCTGGTTAGTGCCTGTACTAGAGGGTGAAGGAATCAAAGGAGACATACACCAAAATACATAATTTTCCCTCTTGCTTGCCTCTGAAATGTGGCTAGGTATAGAATGATGTTGAAACCACAGGCAAAAATGTAGATTTGGAAGTATCTGTGCTTTTGAATTACTTATTTTCCTGTCCTCTTACCACATTGGTAAGTAATAATTGGCTATATTTGGTACCTGTCTCTCTCCTACTGTATTGTCATTTTCAAAATGTGTTTGTATTCTAGTGTGTGCTGCAAAGAAGCTATTTCTGATGTCCTACATATTTTAGTATAAATCACTAAGATGTATTTCCTTTCACTTGGCAGGATTCCTTTCAAAATGGAATCTGAGTATTAGACACTAGTTAAAATATTTATAGATATTAAAGATGAATTTTTAAAATTTATAAATACTATTTTCCAAAAGTACAGACTCTAAGGATATATTTTGATAAAGTATTATTTGTAATGAACACAAGCCTCTCTTGAGTAGAAGTCTAAATCACATGATGATTATTTTATACTAGTTCTGCTATCATGCTATTTTATGCTAATTCTGCTTATTTTGGAGTATTTTTCATTAAGGTAAGCAAAGTGAAAGATACTTGGTACTTTACCCAGATTTCTAAGAGGCAACATTTTTATTCTTCAGAGTCAGGTAAATGACTATAATGGTTTGGTTTCTAATGAAAAGTCAATAGCATTAGCAACTATAATTCCATTTATAATTTCCTTTTAGCATTTACAGTGAAAAGTGAGAATTTTAAAATGTATGGAATCTATTTTCCAGATTTATTTTTAGTCTGAAAAACAAACTCCCCCATGTGGTATTAATATACCTTCAATTTATGTTGAATCTTAAACATAATTAGGAGATTTTTTTTCTATTTGCTAGATTTGTTTTGAGTCAAAACTGATTTAATGTTCTTCCAAACAACATTTATGTGTTGGCCTACAGAGTTTATTTCATGTGTTTTATTTAATATTATGTTACATCCATTGCAATCTGTTCAAAACAGATTAAGACAAACATTTATGATGGTCTGTATCAATCAGCAGATTTTATTGCTTTTCATTATTTTACTGTAAAGGCAAAGGATGCAAAAGGTGATGGTTGGTTGAAAGGAATTGCTATTACTGTTTTTATTTTTTACTTTTTTTGAAACAGTCTCTTCCTGTTGCCCAGGCTGGAGTGCAGTGGCATGATCTTGGCTCACTGCAACATCCATCTCCTGGGTTCAAGCGATTCTCCTGCCTCAGCCTCCCAGGTAACTGGGATTACAGGTGCAAGCCACCACGCCCGGCTAAAATTCTTTTGTATTTTTAGTAGAGATGGAGTTTCCCCATGTTGGCCAGGCTGGTCTCGATCTCCTGACCTCAGGTAATCCGCCAGCCTCGACTTCCCAAAGTTCTGGGATTACATGCATGAGCCACCATGCCCGGCTGCTATTTCTCTTTTTAACTACATTTGATGCCTTGCTTATAATATCATATGCTTGAGGCTCACTGTTGATGTAGAGTAGGGCAAATCTGTGTATGTCATTTAAAAAAATTTCCACCATCTTTTCTTATCATCTGATGTGGGTGCACTCTAGAGTGACTTCAGTCTGCTCAGAACAAATGTGGAGGCAGGAGGAAACTGATGCTACCCATGGTCCCAGTGAAGTTAGCTGGGTTAATTACTGCCATTCTTTTCTGAGTATGTTTTATGGCATCCTGCGACAAAGAACTCACAGTCTGATTAGGATGAACTTAATGACTATTTACACCTCAAAATATATTCAGTAGAGGGTTCACTTAATTGCCCCCCATGCTTCACAGGTCGACTAGTATCCCTCCCTGCCAGTGTTATTCACTCACAAGCCACCGGGCCTACAGGACATCTCAAGATTCAGTGTTGACAATATAATAGCAAAAGCTGGACTAAAGCCCAAATGGAGTGTCTGTGGCAATGCAGAGGCTGACAGCATTAACAGCGGGGTGTTACGGCATAATTGTTAATTCACACATCTATTAGGATCCTTAAATATTCATTACTTAGTGTTAAATTAACATTCTGTGTAGAGAGGGGAGGCTTATTCAATTCTTCTGACCTCAGAACTGGCAAAAGGTCAGATGTGACTACAGAACTCTAGGTGAAAAATCAGGTAGGATTCAAATTAAGTAGAACTGCCCTTGCCGGAATAGTGATCTTCAAAAAACCCTTGCTTTTAAGGGAGGGAAGCGGGGAAGGAAAGGAATGAGGGAGGAAAGATTCCTTTCTAGCATTCATTTTGCTTTAGATCATTCCATTGTGAGTTTGGCCATTTTGGAGTCAAATGAGCAGACTTCCAAGGAGCTGACCAGTTTGTGACTAGTCTGTTCACTTTTCCAGTTACAGGATCACATTAACAGTGTAAATGAATTCATGGGTAGATCATTTGTGCAGATCTAAATTTAAGGACATTTCCTTTTTCTGTGGGAATCACAAGAGTTCATCCATTAAAAAAAGATATGTAAAAAAGATACTTTCCAGCACATAAATAAAGGCTGGAATTTTACAACCTGATGTATATATTAGACAGTTCTAGGATGTTAGTTCCCTTCATTCCAGAGCTATGCTTGTGATACAGCCCCTTTTCTTATAAATTCAGTTAGAAGGCCTTTCTTAACAATGACTATTATAATGTTTTACTTAAAGTATGGTTTTATATTCTGTCAATGCAAATACAAAACAGGTTGAGCCTTAATAATCATGTAACAAAATATTTTGTAGATTAAATATTGATTTTTCAAAAATTAAAAATGTATTTCAAATGATTCTTACTGTGCTGTGAATGTATATCTTCTTCTGCAAGACCTGGGGCTCTTTTTTTTTCTTAAGGTATGAAATAAACTTCAATAACCTTAAACAATTGACTCTCTGTCAGGCATATGTCAGACTCCAATCTTAAGGAGTCGGTGACCATGACCTCTTGGCATATCCTGGAAAAATGACATCATCAAAGTATAGTTGATAATGTTATAAAAGGTGATTTTAAAAATAGAGTATAATCATGACTCATAAAGATATGAGGCCGGGCGCAGTGGCTCACGCCTGTAATCCCAGCACTTTGGGAGGCTGAGGTGGGCGAATCACGAGGTCAGGAGATCGAGACCATCCTGGCTAACATGGTGAAACCCTGTCTCTGCTAAAAATACAAACAACAAAAAAAATTAGCCAGGCATGGTGGCGGGCACCTGTGGTCCCAGCTACTCAGGAGGCTGAGGCAGGAGAACAGTGAACCTGGGAGGCGAAGCTTGCAGTGAGCTGAGATTGTGCCACTGCACTCCAACCTGGGCGACAGAGCGAGACTCTGTCTCAAAAATAAAATAAAAATTAAAAAAAATGAAATGAATACGTTCATAAGATTACTACTACTCAAAGCCTTTCACAAATTTTCCTTGAAAATGGAAAAAACTTTGTCCACAGTATTCCATGGAATTTTCAAACTTTGGCAACTTGTAGAGTAGTCCTGTAGAATTAATGTGCACCTAAAAGCCGTGTTTTTAAAGTTTAGAAAACCAGTTTTACATAATTGTACAGAATATATTTCAGGTAAGGTATACGTGTGAGTGGTAGGGAGTTGCGGGGGTGGAGGGAAGTTGTGGGGGAGTGGAGGGAGGCCATAGGAGATACGAAGGTAAATCAGTGCTTATAAAGGACTGACCTAACAACCTCTCCACCCTCCTTTTTACGAGAAATCTGCCTTGTGTTGAAATTAAATTTTTATTTAGCTACTAAAGTTAATATTTCAAAATGGCATCAGTACTTCGTAGAAGACAGAAATGAAGCAACATTTTAGGCACTGCTAGGACTCACAAGGCTTGGCCCTAGTTCTTCAGGAACGACAAAAGGATTGAGTGGCAAAAACTGACTGTATTTGTAACAACAGTCCTCAAAATCCCATCCATCAGTTCTTTCCTGTTTTGTCTCAACTCTGGCTAGACTGTCCCACCACTTTTGTGTAGACACAGGGTAGATTTTGATGTTGTCTCTCCTAGACCCTACCCATCCTCTGCAGCTACTGTATTCCAAGGAACTTATACCCTTAGCCAGGGCCCTAAAACATAGGGCTATATGTATTCCGTTGAATCATATGTAATTGCCAATATTTACCTTTCTTGATGGGAATTTCACGGGCTCAATCTAATTATCCCTATATTTCCCTGGGTCATATGATACAAGCATTTTTCGTTATCCTGCTTAGAAATGGTATTGAAATATGAATTTGACTCTAATTTTTAAAGGAAGACAGAGTTGCTAGTCAAGAAACAAATAGTTGAATTACAAAAAACCATAGATACAAGCTACAAGTAATATTGTGCCTTTAAAATCATGTTTCATCTGTAAGGAAAAGGAAAACTGATTAGATTAATTGCCCCATGTTTTAAAATATTTCAGTTCATTTCCATGAGACTTCCTGGGGAAGAAAGGCACAGCATCATTAGACTCTGGGTTTTGCTGCTTCCCCTTCATGTATCTGCACTCGCACAGCCTTCCAAACTTCAGAGGGAAGAGTGGCTTCTTTAAATAATATGATTGTGTGTGTTGCCATTTTGCTGAGAAGCCCCTTTTGTAGAACCCAGCATTGTGAACTCCATGAAATGTAATTTGCAGTACATTCTTGAAACAGAAGAGGGTGCTCTCAGGCAAGCTGATGCTACCCGGTGCTAGAAATTTAAATTTGGTGCTGCTTGTATTATGATTAGTACAAGATCTTGGGGGCATTCAATAAAGCATTTCAAAGCATGTAAGTCCAGTGGAGTATAATTAAAATTAATGCAATAGACAAACACATTAAAGTATTCTTAATGCCTAGTCTAAAAATGCTGTCAAATACAATTTTACATATCCTAAAGATTCAAATACTATGCTCATCTCTAAACATTTCTAACTATTATAGACAAAGAAAAACAGTGTCTTCCTTCTCCGCAGGTTTCAAACAAAATTTTTCTAATGAGAGTTAATAAACTCAAAATCTTCTTTCTTTAAAATATTTGTAAGATATTATAATTAATTCATCCTGTTTTGGCATGTGTCAAGGTCAATGCGGTCCCTAAAAATCTCCAGTCCAGGATTGTACTTTCAGCTTCTTAGGTAAGAACAAGCGAAGATATATGCTTTCAGGAGAATATTTCATGCTGCCTTGACTCAGGGACAAGCCTTGGTACTCTTTCAGTCCTCAGAAAGCAGTAATGAACATTGTCCTTTTCAAGATGGGCTCTGTGTTTCTCTCCGAAATCTTCCTGGGTGGATGTTGTCATTCTTTTATAAAGCCAGTTAGGACACTCTCTTTCCAAAAGCCTTATATCATGAGTAAGTCTATGAGTGTAGCTGAACGCATGCAGCATTCCCAAAGCATTCTGAACTACAGAAGGCTTCCTTAACACATGGGCTGCCAGTTTGCCACTCTGAATCACCTCAAAATGCAGTGTGACTTTTGTTCCAAATAATCATCTTGCTGGTCATTCTAATTTTTTTAAGTGCTTACTATATGTCTGCAGTTTTCTAGGTACTAGGGATCAGCAACTACAAAGACAGTTAATTCCTGCTCTTAAAGGGAGTATATAATAGTGGGGGAAGTCAGATGATAAATATCAAGTTGTGATTATTGCTATGCAGAAAAATAAAGCAGGGTAAAACAATAAAGAGGTGTAGAAGAGTGCCATTTTAGATAGGTTGGTAAGGAATGTTCTCTTTGATGAGATGACATTCTAGCAGCGAGACCTGAAAGAAATGAGATAGAGTGCCTCCCAGATTCCCAGGGAAGAGTGTGTCCAGCAGAGGGCTCTGCTAGTGCACAGGTGTGAGACTAGGGGTGCTAACCCATCAGAGGAACATCACAGAGGACAGAAGGCCGCTGGGTGGCTATATCGCAGTGAGCAAGGGGGTGGGATAGAGGTGGAAAGAGATCAGAGAGATCGTGGGGAGGTGAGGGAGGCAGACCACCTAGGGTTTTGTGGGCCATGGATTTTATTCTGAGTGAGATGGGAGCCCCTGGAAGGCTTTGTGCAGAGGAGGGATAGAACTTTGTTACGTGTTAAGATGATTCTGTGGACATAAAAAGGAGGTAAAGGCAACAGCAGAGAAAGTAGTTAAGAGTCTATTGCAATATCTCAGGTGTCTTAGTCCTTTCTTGCTGCTATACCTGAGACTGAGGGATAGCAAAAATTTCTCACAACAGAAATTTCTCACAATCTGGAGGCTGGGAAGTCCAAGATCAAGTGCCAATAGATTCAGTGTCTGGTGAGTGCCTGTCTGTTCCTCATAGTAGTCACGTTCTTGCTGTGTCCTCACATGGCAGGAGGGGCAACAGGGCTCCCTGAACCCTCTTTTATGAGGGCACTAATGCCATTCATAAGGACAGAGCCTTCACACCTAATTACCTTCCAAAGGCCCCACCTTTCACTACCATCATCTTGGGGGTTAGGTTTCAACATATGAATTTTGCGTGGGACACAAACATTCAGATAGCATCAGCTGAGAGGTGATGAAGATTGAGAGTGGTGACAGGAGATGAAAAATGGTTGAATTCGGAACATATGTGAAACATGGAGCCAATAGTATATGCCAATGGATTAGATGTGGGGTGTGAGGGAAAGAAGGGAACCAAGACCACTACCAGATTTTTGGCCTAAGCTGCAAAAGAATGGAGTTGATTTTATGGATGAGGGGAAGAGTGTTGTAGGAGCAGGTTTTGGGGAGAAAGATCAGGAATTCATGTTTGGATATGCTAACTTTGAGATGCCTATTAGATATACAATGGAGAGAGCAAGTAGCAATTGAATGTACAAGGCAGGAAAGAGGGCTGTGATAGAGATGCGCCTCTTAGAGATATCAGCACTTTCAGCCATGGGACTAACTGGGATCACCTGGGGTGAATATAGACTAGAAGTGGGCTGAGAATTGAGCCCTTGGGCTCCCTGGAGTTTAGAGGTCAGGAAAATGAGGGCAATGCCATAAAGAAAAAAGAGAATGGTATTCATTCCATGGGTCAAGTGAAAAAGGATGTAATGAGTTTCCTCAAATGCTGCTGCTAGAGTAAGATGAGAACTGAGAGTTGGCTACTGGATCTAGCAACATGGAAATCGGTGACCTTGACAGAAACAGTGTCATTGAAATGACAGAAGTGACAGCAATGGAAGCAAACTCAAGCAGGTTTGGACCCAGTGAGTAAATGGCTTTGTAGAGGAAGCAAAATTTCCTTCTACCCTCTTCAGTTCTGTGGTTGGTCCAAGAATTAAACTGACATAAGACAGATTAGCAGGAGAAAAGCATATCGATGTTATTAATATTTTTACATGTACATGGCAATCTTCCAAAGGGAAGTAAAGACACTAGGATGTCATTAGGCCATGAAGCTTATATGCCTTTTCACGCAAAGAACAATTAATTATGGGGATGTGACAAGACAAAGGGGCTTGGGCTCGGGGCATTAAATTGTAGGACAGTGCCTAGAAAATACATGGGGGAAACTAATGAAAGATAGGGTCGTTTTAGTAGTTCGATGTGGAGGTCCATTTCGGCATCAACTCCTAGTATTTGGTGACAAGAATGTTCTTCTCTTCCTAGTACAGGAAAGGCAACTTTTTCATGGAAAATTTTATGATATGTTTTTAGGTAGAAATGAGGAGGTCAGAGAGCCTGTGCTAGTTTGTTTCGCATTGCTACAAAGGAATACCTGAGACTCAGTAATTTATAAAGAAAAGAGGTTTAATGGGCTCACAGTTTGGCAAGCTGCTCAAGCATGGAACCAGCTTTTGCTTGGCTTCTGGTG